GTCGCTTCGTTAGCCAATCAAATTATTTGAACAATTCTAACAAGGATTGTGATTGGTTTATTTTAGCGTGCTTTATCAGAGAACAGTGCACGGGTGATGCCACTTTTGTTCGTTTGGAAAATAAAGTTTGGTTTGAAAATTTAGCCAAATGCGTTGGGAAATTATTAGATTCTTTATCATAAAACAAATAAAGAAGCCTCGACAGTGCTCTGTTCTGTTGTAAAGCACTTAGGAAGCGGTAGAGCACTCAAGAAGTGGGGAAAAACACTCGACTTCGTCTCGTGTTTTCCCCTAAATTTCTTTTGTGCTCTACCGCTTCCTGTGCGCTTTACAACAGAACAGAGCACAGTCGAGGCTTCTTTATTTGTTAAATGTTCTAGCGAAAATCTATTAATAGAAACATGTAGAGAATAGGGATATTTCTCCTGCTCCTCCTACATGGGTGTAAAGGTCCCGCATGAGGGCCGTACACGTTGAAGTGCTAGGGCCAGAAAAAAACGTGTGCTGTACGGCCTGACTAGAAATGCATACAACCCCACAAAACCGATGTGGGTTAGTGACAGAAAAAAGTTATTGCTGCAGAATTTTGTTTTGAAAGTGAGTAATGAAAGTGAACATTCTAATGTCAACGAATTTTACCATCTCGGCAAAGTGTCCGATGAAGAAATACTTCGTTTGCCTACTTACACGTACTCCAAAAGTACAGAAAGTCAACACGTCTCACAAATGAAGAAGTCCACATCTTTTTCAAAAGACAACAACAAAATGGCCATCTGATAAAATGCTTATTGACTAAGTGAGGTCAGGCAGGATGTGAAAATATTTGGCTCTCGGTCAGGATGCATGGACCATGTATGTCCTGAACTTGAGGCAAACATTTTCCCATCCAGCCCTTCCACTCAGTCAATAAGAACATAATTATTGCAAACTTCAAGTTGATAAATAGCCAAGAATTGCACTTGCCCACCGGTGTAGCCTTACAGTAGGGAGTTTTAGCAATGATGACGGCGATGGTGGGGACGATGCCTTGTAAAAAAAGATTTTATATTTTACCTTTGAATGTCACAACTGTGCAGATCTGTTCAGTATACCTATCGGTCTAAAAACTTGCTCAGGCAAGCCATCCCCAACAGCGTTCAATTTGAAAAGAAGATACCAAAAATCAGCCATTGTGGTTTGCGTTCTCCAAAATATATAGAACTTAGTCATTTCACAATGATGTTTTGCAGAGGACAGCAAAGAAATGTTCCAAGATTCAAAATGCACATGCACAGCACAGCCATTGTTCTGCTCATTAGACCATTTGTTTGGTGTCGCTCTCATCGCCATCTGTGGCATGGTTTGCTAAAACTCCCTAGTGTCTTAAGAAGCTAATTCCTTTGTGTAATTTCATTCCACTAGTAGACGAGGACATAACTGAAGCTGGTGACAGAAAAGAAGAAGATGCAGGAACTGGCTTTCAATTATTTGCAAAACATTTGAAGAAAGAAAGAGCAAGCTTAATGCCAATATATTTGACATCGAAGAAACTAGAACTTTTGGAGACATCAATTGCAACCCCATTTGAAATTAGACATGGACGAAGAGATGCAGTAGATTACAAAGGAACTGCATTTCAATTAAGTGATGAATTTCAAAGAGCTATAGATTATTTCACGAAAGCACTTGCAATCCGTATTGAACTTTGTGCTAGACAAGTCGAAGCAGCATATTATGGTGAACATGACAAAGCGAAAGAATATCTGGAGAAAGGGCCCATAATCACAAGTGAACGTGGAGACAGGCAAGGTGAAGCATCATGTTATGAAAACCTTGGAACTGAGTTACTATTTTGTGGTGAACATGACAAAGCGAAAAAATATCTGGAGAAAGCACTCGCAATCACAAGTGAATGTGGAGACAGGCAAGGTTTAGCATCATGTTATCGAAACCTAGGAACTGTGTATCAATCTCTTGGTGAACATGACAAAGCAAAAGAATATCTGGAGAAAGTGCTTGCAATCACAAGTGAAGGTGGAGACAGGCAAGGTGAAGCATCATGTTATCAAAACCTAGGAACTGTGTTTCTATCTTGTGGTGAATATGACAAAGTGAAAGAATATCTGGAGAAAGCGCTTGCAATCACAAGTGAAGGTGGAGACAGGCAAGGTGAAGCATCATGTTACAGAAATCTAGAAACTGTGTTTGTACCTCTTGTTGAACATTACAAAGTGAGAGAATATTGGGAGAAAGCACTTGCAATCACAAGTGAAAGTGGAGACGTGCAAGGTGAAACATGTTTAAGTCTATTCTTATCTTAATTTCAGAAACATGTAAAGAATAGGGGTATTTCTCCTCCCCCCNTCCATTGCGAGACTATGGACAACTGTAGCAAACAATGCTACGGACCGTGGTGAACCGTAGTGTTGCTTTCCATATTTTTGTGGTCTTATGCAAGACCACTAAGCTAGAGGCTGATCTTGATCGTCAATCAGTCAGTTAGTCAGTCACTTTGAGGACAAGATGACGTGTGGCAGACCTCCAGGAGTATAAATAGTTCGACAGGTAGACTCGGTACTATGAGAGAAAATAAAAAGTGTGACTGAAACTGATCGAAAGCAAAGTGAAACAGTTGTGGGAAAAACCCCTTTTTGAGTTTCTAAAAATAGCAACAAACGTTGTATGATTTCTAAGACTCCATAACAGGTTCTGTAATGCTAATTTGATCCCAGCTTATGCATTTAATTGACTACTTGATTACTTTTTAACTTTAGCAGGACCACAGCGAAGGCCTGTCCGGGAACAAGCAGCTGCAGCGATGACAACTAGCAGTAAGAATAGGCACTTGTATAGTTTAATCGTTAACACCATGACTATGTTCAGAAATTTTAATTTTTTATTATAATTTTGAACCCAGTTAATTTAACAACCTTGTTTTATTGACCAATATCTTTGTCTTCCCTTACCTCTTCCTCATTCTCACATAATGTTGATTTTTATCCATCCAAGTTATTTTTCTGTGCAAAAAAACTTTTCTTCAAATAATCAGACTACTGGGTTGTGGAAGGATAAGGATAAGTCTGCAAACGACCCAAGCGACCCATCAGGCTGGCGCTTTTCTCTGGTTTCTGTAGTATGAAGCGACTAGGAGTATTTCTAGTCCCTCCTGGATGGGATGCTAGTCTCGCAGCGTTACCCCCAGCATTAAATTCGCCGATACCCGTTTAAACGCCTGGGTGGAGGGGTGATGTAGCAGCTCTCGTAATGTATAATATGATTGGCTCGCTACCCTAGCCAAAAACAAAAGACCAGACAACTGAAACAATGACTTGGACTTAACAACAATAGAAGCTGCTTACAATACCAAACAAAAGCAGGTTATGAGAGCGGCTACACTACCGGGGTGGAGAGAGGCACTGTGAGAATAATGTGTAATTTTCTTTATTTCAAGCTCATGCCCCATGTCAAGAGTCATCTAGGGATGATATTAATTACAAGGCAAAGTCTGGTTATGTTCTGGTGATAAACAACTATATCTTCCCCTGGAGGGATGACGTTGAGCGTACTGGCTCCAATGATGACGTAAGGAATCTGACAAGTCTCTTTAATAACTTCAATTTCCGACATGTGGTAGAAGACAATCAAACTGGAAGTCAAATGATAAAGTTACTGCAAACCACTGCAGAGAAAGACTTTTCAAGATATGACTGCTTTGTCTGTGCAATCCTTAGCCATGGAAAAAAAGATGGGATCTATGGTACAGACGAAGAACTGATTAAAATTGAAGCAATCACATCTCTCTTCCGACGGAATGAGTGCCCCTCACTGGAAGGAAAACCAAAAATATTTCTCTTCCAAGCTTGTCATGGTTCTCGACGAGATACAGTACCTGTCGAGAGTGACAGCGACCCCATTCCACTTACAAGTTCATCTTTGCCAGCAGATGCTGACTTTCTCATCTGTTTTGCTTCGGCTCCAGACCATGAAAGCTACCGTCAGGCTCACCTTGGTTCATGGTTCATCTCGTCTGTTGTTGATGTGTTCAAGGAATATGCAGAAAGAGAGCATCTCATGGATATGATGTTGAGAGTTAACAACCGTGTTGCTGGATTTTACAGTAAGGAGGGTCTCAAGCAAATACCATGCCAGGTCTGCATGCTACGAAAGAGAGTGTTTTTTGATCCAAAGTATAGCTGAACATGAATTTTACCCTGACAAGGAATTTATCCTTCAATGTCTTTTACAAGGCATTTTCATGTAGTATTTTAAATTAAGATTGTCTGACTGTGGCAATGGATTGAACCCCAGTAGATGTTACCTCTGGTATATTATCTGTAGACATTTAAAGTGCATATGACATGAAAAATAATTTCTGCTTATTTGAAAGGCCTTTCAAAATACAAAAGAATGGTGTTTTTCTTTTTAAAATATTTTTTTTCGTTTTAGAGATATTGACGTTTTTCTGTTATGAAATTAGATCAGTGACGACGTCATATTGTTTGCAACTAAAAAGTGATAAAATACAGAATAAACGATATCTCTGGAAATATTGAAGCAGTGTTCTTGAAACTTGGCACCACAAATGTGCATCACAAAAGCCATATGCACTTTAACAATATTATTCCATGAGCGCATGTTGATATGAGATATGAGATATGGGGGAATAATGCTTGTTGGATGTGAGATGATAATCATCTCACATCCAACAAGCGCAAGTGGAATAATATTAAAAAAAAAAAACGCTCTCAAAATATAGAAAACTAAAGTAGAGTAAAAGTAAAAACGCCCCCAAAAAATTATGTGCATATTAACGGTATCTGTAGGGCATGGTGTAATTTATTGTTCTTACACCATGATGGCAAAGCCAATGAAAACCCTTGAATTGTATTACATAATGATCATTTTTTGTTAATAGATAAATGTGAAATAGGTCATGTTATTTTCTTGAGACTGGACTGGAAGTCACTTGCACTTAAGGCTATCATGGGGGAATAATGCATCATGAAAAACAACTTCATTGCGTTGGCATTATTAATTTTTGAATAGTTTCCTCCATAAGAACTTCATTGCAAACTAGTTTAAGAACACAAGTATGGTCTCTTAATTTTGTAGCATGGTACAACTTTTCTGAGAAATCTTGTGTAGATGTACATGGTTTGTGAGTTGAAATTTCCTTGAAAATTGTAAATATATTGATCATTCATAATTACTATCTGATAATAATATTATCAGCATAATAATAAGTATGATAGTAATCAAAGGAGGGATAGATATCTCTTAGTAGTCACAATCAGAAGCCATAATGGGCTTGTAACATCCCTCATTTAACATTGAACAATGTTAGATTATGGGCTCAAGATATCAATCACTTGATAAGCGCAGAAAATGAGAGCGAATTATCTGATTGTCGAGGAAAAGGTGGTGGTTGTTCATCATGGTAGATGTAATAATAAAGTGTTCTATTGTTTGTCTCACGATGTAGTCACTTGAGATGTAGATCGCGAAGTTTCGACTGCTTACTGCTAGTATTCTGAAGGCGATGAGGTCGACTGATTACACGGCACTATTTATATCACGAAGGGCAGCTGTGATTGGTGCATTTCAAACCTCCCATTGTTCCATTGTTCCGGTGAGTAGCTGTTCCCAGTAGGTACATCATGTATGGGGACATATATTGTACCGAAATATGTTTCATATATGCTTGATATGCTTGAGATGCTTGTCTTACTTGACATGCTTGACTTGCTTGAGGTACTTGTCTTACTTGAGATTCTTGTCTTACTTGAGGTGCTTGTCTTACTTGAGTTTCTTGACTTACTTGAGATTCTTGTCTTACTTGACATGCTTGACTTACTTGAGTTGCTTGTCTTACTTGAGGTGCTTGTCTTGAGATTCTTGTCTTACTTGCGACGCATGTCTTACTTGAGATTCTTGTCTTACTTGACATGCTTGACTTACTTGAAGTGCTTGACTTACTTGAAGTGCTTGACTTACTTGAGATTCTTGACTTACTTGAGACGCTTGACTTACTTGAGATTCTTGTCTTACTTGAGGTGCTTTTCTTGCTTGAGGTGCTTTGCTTACTTGAGGTGCTTTGCGTACTTGAGGTGCTTTGCTTACTTGAGGTGCTTTCCTTACTTGAGGTGCTTTGCTTACTTGAGGTGCTTTGCTTGCTTGAGGTGCTTTGCTTACTTGAGGTGCTTTGCTTACTTGAGTTGATTTGCTTACTTGAGGTGCTTTGCTTACTTGAGGCGATTTGCTTACTTGAGGTGCTTGACTTACTTGAGGATCCTTGCCAAATTGGCCCTACTTGAGGTTTTTGACGTACTTGAGGTTACTTGACTGAGATGCGTGACTTACTTGAGGTGCTTT